CCAGCCCTGGCCCCGGAAAGCCGGCCGGGCGCCTGCCGAGACCTTCCTCTCGCCCCTCCGCCACACTCGGCTCCCTCCGAGCCGCCCGTCTTTTCGGGCGCGGCGCCGCCTGTGCGTGGCCGGAGGGCCCCTTCCTCGGGCGCCGGCGGCGAGGAGGACCCACGGGCGGGGCTCCACCAGCCCACTGCCAAGACTAACACGGACACACACCCACCGCCCCGTCCGAACGGCGGGAGCTTTTCTGCCCCAAAGGCTTCCTTCCCGCCTCCTCCGTCAGAGGCCTGTCCTGGTTCCTCCCGAGGGAGCGGGAGGGGAGCGCCCAGGTGGCGACCAGGCGGGCCGAGCGTGCTCCTCCCCCCACCCCCCGCGCGTCTCAGCCCCGTCCGAACGGCGGGAGCTTTTCTGCCCCAAAGGCTTCCTTCCCGCCTCCTCCGTCAGAGGCCTCTCCGCAGCCATTCAGAGACCGGCAAGAATGGGGCAGGCGGCACTTCCCGCAGGGGCAAGGGCGCTCCTTGCTTCCTACACTCGATCGGTCTCCAGCCCGTGCATACGTGGGCCACGGATTGTGTCCGGCACCGCTTCTCTTCACTGACTTCCTTGGTCTGTTAGGACAGCCGTTAAAGGCGCGGAAGCCACGGAAAGGAGGAGAAAGCGATCCATCGTCACTACGACACCTTGCCCCGGCCCGGCTCCAGCTAGATCTCTGTAGATCCAAGGGAAAGTTTCGGACCTTCGGCTGCTCGCCTCCGTTCCTTTCCCCGCGGGAATCCCGCGCCAGTCTGCAGGGCTCCTTCCTACGCAGCACCTGCGCAAAAAGCACTTCGGCAGACGGGGGGGGGGTGCGGGATCTGGGAGGGAAGGAGCGATGTGCATTTTGGGCTTGTGATTTCTTTTAGCTCTCTGCCACCACCGGCACCTCTCAGAATTGTCTGTCACCTGCTAGGAGGAATACAGACAGAGTGTGATTACGTTAGTAGGCGTCCCTTTTCTTCGCAGGCTGCAGGCACAAAGGAGAGGGCGCCTAAAACGCCTCTGCGTCAAGGGCCGTGCAAATACGAATTGTTGTGTTACTGTTAACTTTGCTCAATGAATATGATTGCGATGGAAGGACTTCTGGAGATGCCGCCCTGCCCTTACTCTTCTAGCACTTCAGAAATAGTTTCGTCTTCTGGATTCCCCTGGTGTCAGAACGAGAACACAGGCGGGCCTCTGGTGCTTTTGACAACCCTCCAGTGGGGAGGAGAACCCTCACTGCAAGAAAAGGGGCATTTAATCATCGTCCTAATTGCGCAAACAGGCCTGAGTCAGAAGTGTGCTTTCTAAAAAAGCAAGTATCCTACTTGTAAAAACGTTTGGAAAGCAGGCGCGGGCAAATTGTTTTCATGGGGACTGCTAGGCACTACCGCTCGAATCTCAACAGCCAGTGCTTATGCCAAATTAAAAGCCAGTGCTACAGGGGTTGTAGAGTAACTCCTCACCTTCCACCCTGGCCTCGTTCTCATTCTATAAACCTTTATTTACTCCATAGTATAGAACTATTTTTGCCAGCGGGTTGTGTCCTGAGCCTAGGGCCTATTTGGATCACTTCACATTTTCTTCCATTTCCTGGTTAAATCGTTCCCACACCGCATGCAGCCTCTGAAAGACGTTATAGCATTTCTTTTCCAGATAAAGCGCAATGCTATCTTACGCGTGTTTAGTCAGCTCTAAGTCTCGCTGTGTTAAGTGGAACTTAAAAGTGCATACAACTGCTGCAGCTTTCTCCACCCACAACGCGGCGCAGGTGGGGATATGGGGTGCCCGGATGCTGTCAAATATCAGTCGCAAGAATTTGCCTGATCTCCTGATTGGCACCTTTACAGCAACTGAATAGGGAAGTGAGATATTTTGAGCGTGTTTGTAGCATTTCGGGTGCAGGACTGGCAGGTGTGTAAGGCTGCAGTCAAGTACATCTGATTGAGCTCCGCAGCATGTAAGGCTGGGTGATGAGGCTTTACCCAATTAAAAGCATGCACAAAAATGATCTCTTTCTCTTGCCCTCCCGGACAGAGACTGGTGAAGCCTACTTCGCTGCGGGATGTCATTTGCACAGTGAGCCAGAGAGGCTAAGGGGTGGGAAGGAGGCAGAGAGAAATCCCGAACACTGTCACCATCCGTACCTTAAAGCCAGCCTTGCTGGCAGAATATGAGGCTGGCCCTGAAACGGCCCAGAGGCACACGCCGGCGTCTTGCCCACCATCCCCCGAGTCGACGCACACTCACCCAAGCGACGCGCCCCGGGCTGGTCGCAGAGGCAGCCGGTAGCCGCATTCAGTCCCCGCCGGCTCTCGACCCTGACTACAGAGGGCGAAGAGAAGAAGGAGAAGGCAGCCCAGAGAGCGGATCAGCCAGTCACAGACTTCGCCAGGCCTCGGGGGAAACGGGCAGGCCCCCCCGGGAAGAGACGCCCCGACTCCGCCGAGGGAGCAGCTTGTCCGGCAGCCGGGCTTTCCTCGCCGCGAGGGGCACGCGCGGATCTCGGTCCACTCGCGCTTCCCTGGCTGTGCCCGTCCCGCCCTGCTCCCCTGTATTATAAGACCAAGAGCCAGGGCTCCGGAGCAAGGGATTGGTGACTTGTCAAGCCGCGCGCTTTCTAATTGGCTACTTGGAAACCGGACTGCCCGCCCCTTCTCCCCGCCCCTTCTGCTGCTTTTGCCCGCTGGCGTGCAGCTGTTTCCTCCGCTTTGTAGGGGTCACCTTTTTTATTTACTAGCATCAGCAGCAAATGAGCTATGCGGGCGAGGTGCTGCTTGCCGCCCAGGCCTGGAAATAGGTACAGGAAAAGGTAATAGGAAAGAGCAAGAGTCCAGTCGCACCTTGAAGCCTAACAAAAACTGTGGCAGGGTAGGAGCTCCCGAAAATCACTGCTCACTTCTTCTCATACAGGTAGAGTATGCCTAGAAAAAGAAAGGAGGTACCAAATAGGCCAGGAGGGATGCGTGTCCTAGTCAAAAAGGGGAACACGCTTAGTAGAAGACAAAAAAGAGTGGAAGAAGAACCCAGGCATCCAGCGCTGTTATCTTCAATAACTATAAAATCCACATGGGATAAATTTAATTTGCTGTAAATCACCATGACGTCATAAAGAGAAAGCGAAATCTAAGAAATCCGAAACCAGTTTATGATCTCTGTAACGAATGCGGATTTCCCCCATCACGGCTAACGATATTTTCGCATTTTAAAAATCAGGTGTTCAAATGTAGATAATTATGCTCTGCATTTATTGGTGTCGTCTCCACTTAGTTTTAATTTTATACGAAGCTTTGGAATAATTTCCTGTCGCGAAAATTAGAATAAAATGGGCATTGGAATCTTTCCTCCAGCTCTCGCGTGATTTTAAAAAACCATTTAAGGAAACGAGAAACAGAATTGTTTTAAGCGTGTGGATTCTATTTTCAAACATAATTTACTTCCATATATGACACGGAAACCTGAGAACGGACAGTACCTCTACCTCTTCATCTGGCTGTAGGGGATTCTACTGGCTGGGTAGCAATGTTGAAAAGGAAAAAAGAGCTACCTAAAATGAAAGAATCATAAAATCAACCTTGCCAGAATTTGGCGGATTAAATTATATGCACAACATTCTTATGCCTCAAGAGAAGAATGTTTTTTACCCGCAATATTATGACCTATTTTCAGAGTTTTGTCCTCACAAGTCAAATAACTTGTACTGTTTATATCCGTATCGTTCGCACACACACTCAACTCCAAGCACGGTGACATGGAAAAAACTTTCTAGTTTACTCAACAACTACTCTCCACTCGGTATTTTATCGTGCCGATTGTCTGTTTAAAGTTTTTAACTTTTTTTGTGAACAGTATCAACAGAAAGGCAAGTTGTCGGCTTGTTTGCAACCCCCCCCCCTTCTCCGAAAGCTTAACCGTCAGTATATTGTTTGTCGTAGTCTGTGACTGGTCTGTCAGACGATTGACCTTTTTAAAAAAGCAACGCCTATTCCATGTTTCACCTGTTTACTGCCTTCGCCCTTTTGGTGGGTGGTTTATTTATTTAATAAAATATTTACCAGGGAAGAAACTGCCCCTAGGCTCTGACAGCCAGACAACCGCTCCAAATGCAGTCTTACGAGTCAGGATAATTCTCAGCTCAAGAGAATTAATGAAATATACCGCGGCGAGTGTAACCAAGAGGTGAAGCAGACCGCACCAGACCAATGTAGCCCTATACGCGCGTTCGGTTTTACACCGGCTCTCTCTTCCCGCACGAACCGTATTCACCACGAACAGGATCTTTTGGCGTCACGTGTGAAGCCGCCCTTGACCTGGGCAGTGGCTGTCCTGTGCGCAGCGCCTGCTCCTTAACTCGTAATTACATCTGAGTTGGTTCCGAAGTAAAGAGTGTCGAAGGCTGCGGAGGACAAAGTCAGGATTCAGTCGACCAACTCCGCTCCCCTTAGCTATTTGCTAGGTAATTTACTAATTCTTCGAATAGCAGCTTTGCCTAGTATTTATTTCAGGTCCAAGTGGCAAGAGCGGAGCGGATTTGGGGTACATATTGTAGGCCCGGATCTTACAGGAAAGGAGGGATGGAGATCCCCCAAGGTCGAGGCCGTGGCTGGCCGTTTCGAGCCCTGTCTCGTTCCGCCTCGCTAGGTTTTGTAAACGCTGCGAGGAACAAATAGACCTGGGCAGGGAGGAGGGGGGCCGGCTTGTGTAACCCATAAGCACTTTGCAAGAAGGAAAAAGGGCGACCGGGGAAACGGGGTTGTTCTATAAACTCAAAACAAACAGAATAAAAGGCGCGCAGTCCCCGACTGGGATTGACTTTAAATAGTGGTTATCTCAAGTGAAAACAGTTCCCGTCCGCAGGAGTTTGTGTACTATAAACGCCTCGCCCTGCGGGACCCGTCGAGGACTTAGCAGCAGAGCCGCTGGAACCAGCCTTCCGCCTCGGACCCGTCAGTTTCCTTTCTGGATGGAGCCTGAACGCCGGGGAGGAGCCCCTCCCGGATCCAACAGGACTCTCGAAAGGGGACACGGGGGGGGGGGGGAGGCGGGGGGGCGAACTCGGAAGGGCAAGCGGGGGGGGGGGGGGTTTTCGCTTGACCCGGCCCTTCCTCAAAATCCTGCCTGGAAGCAGCAAGTTTCCCAGTGGTCTGATCAGGGGGAACTTAAGGCAGCCCCCCCCCCCTTCC